GGGGGGGGGGGGGGGGGGGATGCCAGTGCCCTTGACCCTTGACCCCTGACAGGGGTGGCGGCGGGTGGTAGTTGTGGTGTTTGCAAGAACAAGTCTCAACCAACCCTGGCTTTATGCACTAAACTAAACCACTTTACTCTTACTCTTGGTCAGTAGCTCAGCTAAGGTGCGTAGGTGATGGCGAAGAATTGGCCCCACTTCATCAGATGCTGGTCACTCTTCCTGCGGCGCTGTTGAACATTTAAAAAGGGGCCGCACTTTTGTATGAGCTCAGTGGGGGATTTCTCGGCTGTTAGCCCCTGTTTGCTGGCATCCAGCAAGAAGCGCATGTTGATTCCTTCTCAATCTTAGTCTTAAGAGCTCATAACCAAAAACCTGAACTCAGTACCAGCTGGATCCGATGCTCGGATTGAAGAGAGGGACCAGGGGCGGGTGGAACATGTAGAAGATCGCCGGCCAGTTCTCCTGATGCTGTACAGATTACAGGGTGGATTCCACAAGCAGAGTAGCATCTCAGCATTGATCAACCTAATGTACGGGACATTGTTTCTACCATTCCGAGTGAGGGAGACAGACAACAAGTACCCTCAACCTTAGCAGATTTTCCTCGCAGTCCTAAAAGATGAAATGCTGCGACAGGTGAAGGCAGAGGAGCCCAAGAATTGCAAAACTCCCCCATAGCCTGCTTACGTGTTACATGACAAGTTGCCATGGCAAAATGGCTCAGGCATTGAGCGCAGAAGAAGGGGATCATTCCCGGCAGCCACCTGGGCCGCTGCTGCAGAAGCTTAGGATTGCCAACAAGGAGGCCTCATTTTTTGTGGTAGTACAACGTAAGCTTCTTGATGTTGGGGAAACTTCCTAGGAAGTACAGAGGGCTGATGAAGGACAGGGCTTTGGGAATGTATCATAGAATTTGCCCAGGTTAGTGTAAGGCACGTCGTGACGATGAGGCCAAATGCTGTAGGCTTCCGGATCTAGGGTAGCCAGTACTTATGGCAAAGCAGAGAGGTGACAACAACAGGGAAAGCGTCGCCGCCATGGAGTGGATAGCGTTTAGGGTTTTGCTGGGGTCATGCCCCCTTTCAGTAACTGCTACCACAATGGGTTATAGGAGTTATAAGAACCCCCTTAACAAGGCCCCTTTAAGGACAGTTACCCCTGGGAGGGGGAATGACCCAAAGTTTAGGGTTAAGGCCAGCCCAGGACCTAAATGACTCCTTCTACACTTCGCCTCAGCTCATTTCAGAAGAGCCGCCAGGCCTGGACAAGAGCTCCTGGCTCAAAAGCCATACCCATAGCCATAGCTTGAGGACTCATTTTATCTCCTATATTGGTAGTTTCCCAAAATGAGTGGACCCCAATGTAGACCCCAATTTCCTATGGTCAATTATTATGCGCGCCCCTAAAATGGTACCCCTATTGTTGGGCAACCCCCAAATCTCCAACCTCAGGCCCCGAACAACGTAAGCGCTGACCTGGATCTCAGCTGAGATGCTGTCTAAACTGCAACAGGGAAGCACCGAAGTTTGCCGTCTTTAGCTCGGCGTTGCCCTCTCCAGCGCTCAGGGATGTAAGTAGGCTGCGTGCAGATTGTCTAGCCAAAATTAGGGACCACATCTTGGGAATCCAGAGAATACGTTTTACAAGTTACTGGTGCCTGTATTTCGGCGCACGATTTATGGAAACTCATGTCGGAGCTTGTGGCTTAGAGTTCTACTACTGGCTCATGGCCAGTAATTGGGGCTTGGTTTCCCCGACCCTCAAGATAAGGAGCTTATGACTACAGTATGAGGTGATGCTGATTAAGGTCTTTGCTATGAGCTTGGTGGTTACCATAATCCTCTTTTAACATAGTCCCGTATCAACGTAAAGTCCGAAACATCAGAGCTAAGGCTTCCGGATTCCGATGAAATCCTGCAAGGCAAAGGAAGTAATCTGCACAAAACCCCCGTGCAACCCCCAAGAATCCTTGTTGAACCACTCGGCCCTACAGACGCCCAAGCCCTGCTTGCACAAACAATCAGCTCCCTGTGAGGAAGCCCTACACTCCCAAACAATTCTGAACATTACGAAATCCTGGATTAAGTCCTTTTTCTCAGACGATGTCTATGTTTCTTAGGTGCTACGTTTCTGTCTTGGGCTATTTGGAAACTACTCTCGGATTATCGAGCCACATGGCTGAGGCGTTGAGAAGAAAACTCAAGGCCTTGGGAGCAGCGCTGCAGAAGACGAGAAGGCCCACGGGAAGGCATGCCAGGATGTACCAATAGATGTACCTTGAAGACATGGAGCTCAGGGAAGTAAGGATTTGGTTTGGGGCTTGAAGTCCGGACGTAGGCAAGGCAACGGGGCGCCGAGGAGGAAAATCATCCAGGGATCTTGCCCCAGGATGGTGCGGTTTTAATGCTTCGTTTGACCTGAAGACCTCTCGCCGTTTAAATTCCCCACCCCAACTCTCAGCATGCTCCCTCTCGCAGTTGCTAAGTGTGGCATAGTATACTTTCCCTACACGGGGCGCCATGCTTGCGTAGGGTGCAGCTTCTTTGACTCCCAACATAACTCCTACATCAGACCCTTCCTTATGCCAGGCCCTAGTCCCAGCTGCACCATCTGCAGACCAAACGAGCTGGCCGTGAGCCCGAGGATGTTGATCGTGGCGAAGCCCGCCGGGGCACCGACAATGGCCCAAGCCTTCCTGGGTTCATCTTGCAGAAGGATTTGCACTAGCAATATTAGGTATAGTCGACAACGTTAGGCTAGGAGATGGAAGTTGCAGTTGAGGTAGAAGTTGTAAAAGCGAACTTTTTGAAAAGGCCCTGGAGGCTCCTTGGAGGCCCCTGGCACTTGGAGCTCCTCGGAAGCCCCCACAGAACTGCCAAAACCTTCCAGATCTTGCCTCCCAAAACCTTGCAGGCTTGCCTGTTTGCCTTGCCCAGAAGCTTCCGGCAGCCTCTCAAACAAATTCCAAGTTCCAAATAGTTGCCGCTTGTTCAATTGCTCTGGGTTGCTGCGTGGCTTCGGGGCTTTGGTTTTGATGAGGCTACTTCGCCAAATTCAGCGCCAGCTCGCTGAGGTCGCTGTAAGTTGGGCAGTTCCAAAGTAGTACGTGTGCAATGTGATCAAAGACTGCTTCTGCCACAGAATCAAGAATCAAATGGTAACAAACTGCTTGATTAGAAACTTGGTTCTCATGCTTGAACGGTTAAGTTCAACCCACTGTAGAACCCGAAAGAGCTCGTCTAAACAGTCCCAGTTCAAACCTCATCCCGCGAACAGACCTGTGAGAGGGCCGAGGCAAAATGCTGCTGAGAAAGCAGGATGTCTTTTTACAAGCTGAAGTCGTACGTACGTACGTAGGTACGAACGTAGGTTTCAGGGTCTGGGGGAGGTCTTTCCAGAAGAAACTCTTAAGCGCAGAGCCGAAAAGATCTTTTGGTCACCGGCTTCCAACCCATGAATGTAGGCACTAGCCATAGCAAGGAAAACAACTTCTCGCAAACGCCCAGTGTCGTGGCCTTGCCCAGGGGCGTGATGACACTCAAGAAAGTCACCTACAACAGGGAGTCAAGCCTCATGCTAGCCTATGGTCCCCCTTAAGTAGATAGAATATAGGGGTTATATAGGGGCTATATTGGGATAATGGAAAAGAAAATGGAAACTACTATAATAGGTTATATAAGGTTTAAGGTTTAGGGTATAGTCCCCGTTTAAGTAGATAGAATATGGGGTATACGGGGATCTTACTATTGTCTTGGGCAACTCCATACTCTATCTACGTAAGGGGGAATATAGACCTGACTTTGGAAGATCTTCCGCAATAGTGCCCGAGACTGAAGGCACAGCAAAAAAAGGAACGCACAGCATCTGAACCCCCAATGTCAGTAGCGTGAAATCTGACTGAGCCCCGAAACAAAACAAGCCTAAACCATCTGATACCATTTGTGCACAGCATGGCCCTCATCCAACAAGTAAATCACATACTGCGTCAAAACCTACAACAATTTCTTGAGAAGAAACCTAAACAAACCTGTTGCAGTGGGCTATGAAAGTCTTTGGCAAATCCAGGCAGCCCCTCACGGCTCCTCCTGTTTATCATGAGCCCTCTAGCCGTCATAACTGAGGTTCTCCTGGGTGTTCACTTACCGGCTGCTCAGTGAGTGGGTTCTGAGATGCTTATGGCTAATTATGTGGGCTACATCCCTTCGTTCAAATGCAGGAAATCAAAAAAAAATGTCCCAACATGCCACCTAGAAAAGCTAGCATATCCCACCTCAAAGATTCCCAATCCCATCCCCGCGAGGATGTAGGCGATGAACACGGACCTCAGCTGAATTAGTGCTGAATTTGCAACATCCTGACTGCAGGAGTACTTGGCTGAGGTTACTTCCTAACCCCCAAACACAGAGGCCAACAGGCCTCCTTCCAAAGGACAGGTTTAGGGTTTAGGGCTTTTTTTCCCCCTTATATAACCCCAATATAACCCTAATATACTATAGTAGTTTCCATTTTCTTTTCCATTATCCCAATATAACCCCAATAAAACCCAATATATACCCCAATATACTATAGTAGTTTCCATTTTCTTTTCCATTATCCCAAAATAGCCCCAATATGACACCAATACTACCCCAATGTTACTCCAATATAGCCCCTAATATAACCCCAATATAACCCCAATGGGATGCCCTATTACCCCAATATTACCCCAATATACTATTGGGACCTTTCTCCACCGTTCAGCAGTAAAGAACGCTTTACAGCGAGGTCCGGGCACATATCCCGCGGTTTAGGGTTCATATTATTATAGTATATTATAGTATATTATAGTATATTGGGGTTGTATTGGGATAATGGAAAATAGAATGGAAACTACAAGGATTATAGGGGTCATATAGGGGTTATAGGGTTCAAGGTTTAGGGTTTAGGGTAGTCTGTGCAGGGCCCCTGTTAAGCTTCCGGATTAGCTTGGGGAAGCGGTAGCAGCTGAGGATTTCGGAGCTTAGAGGCGTAATGATAGACCCGTGATAAATCAACCCCCTCCGCCAAGGCCCTAAAAGGCCGGAGTTATTAATCACAGGTCTACATGAGGGCTTAGGAAAGCCCGACGTTTTGAAGTCCCACACCGTGACTTCAAGTCCCAACCCTCTGCCACGCCAACCTTGGATCAATAGAACCGAAGGCCGCTTTCCATTCAACATGCCCTCCTACTTTACTCCCGCAATATAGGGGTAATGTAGGTGTATAGTGGGGATATAGCGATTATACAGGGGTAATGGGAAAGTGGAAACTACGATGTAGGGCTATTTGTCAGACCGCTCCCCAAAATCGGCCCGAAGCACCATGAGGCAGCCGAGGGACCCCACCCAGTCCCAGCCCAGCGTGAAGACGAAGACGGTTGGAACGGAGATCCCTACAAACCTGGGGGCTGGGAGTCACGTGCAAGGCTTAATTGCAGGAATCCTGGCACTATCTTAATGGCACCCTAGAAGAAAGGATAACTTGTTCTGCTGGATTTATAGGGCCTTTAGCAGATATTTTCTCCAAATTGTCAGGAAGCAAGGCAAATGAGGACAGAAACGTAAAAGCCCCAGAACATCCGTTCCCACTACATGAACAGCCCGCTAACAAGTGCCCTCCCCCCAGAAGAGGAGTTGGAAACCCTAATAAACCCCCCAAAAACCTGAACCTCATACACCGCAAACACCCTACAGCCTTCCAAACCCCCCTTAATCTCAAATAAGTCCTAAACCCATAACCCAGCCCCAGACACATGAAGCCCATGGCAATGACCACCCGGCTCCACGGGCTCAAGCACGCGAAGACCACGTTGTGCCCCAGGCGAGCAATAAGCTTTCCATAGTGAACTCCTAAGGTTTGAACCCTAAACCCTGAACGGTGGTTAGTAGGAAGATTTAGGACGTGAAGGGATAGGACATAGGGACTGTGCTAAGGGAGTATCACAACGAGCCACTGAAGGATCCATTGCTTTTAAGGGGCTTGGCTTTAAGGGTGCCAGGTCTGAGGCTTAGGGTTTAGGGACGGGAGGGGTGGGGAGGGGTGGGGAGATTTTAGGTGCAGGGTTTATGTGGAGTGCTTAAAGGAACCTCAGTGTTATTTCGGGAAATCTGCTTATGCTAGGCTACTACCGTGCTGCTACATAGCCGCTTTTGAGGGGAGCGTTCTGTGCAGCATGTCATGACTGCACCATGGTTGTTAGGGTCCCATGATGCAATGTAGGGATTGGAGAAAGAGCCAGCTTCAAAAAAATTTACTTCAACACTCGCTAGGACAAACCCAAACGCCACAGAATCAAGCAGCTTGCCCATCTAGCACTGTGATCAACTTCTGGAGTTTATAGGGTTACATGGGGGCTTGTACAGGATTTACCATGGCTTAGGGATATTGACCCAAACATATGTTGGGCACTACTTAACATGAGCTATAGTCTAAACTCCCATAATAGCCCCTAAAGTAATCCCCTATTAATCCCCTATGTAACCCCCTTTAAGGAGTTTAGGCTATACCTAACATGAGTAGTGTTTTTTGGTGGTTGAACCTAGTAAGATTATATCCCTGATATAAAATACTATACCCCAAAAGGAGGATACAATCTTACTCTATACTGGCTACCTTTGTATCCCCCAAAAAAATACTACTCACATGACAGACAATGTCAGGATTCCGACGGCAGCTTGTGTGAAGGCGTGTGCTGCCCCACTGCCATCTGTACTGATACCAAGCCGGTGCTTGTAGGCAGACCTGGGTTTCTGTAAGGGGTTTGGGTGTGGGATTTAATTTAAGGTTTAGGGTTTAGGATTTAGGGTGTAGGAGTTAAGGTTTAAGGGTTTTGGGCCGTAATTATTTAGGCCCCTATATTGTGTGTCAACAGGTTTCCCAACATCAGCCAATCGAATCCACGGAGAGGGTCTGCGTTCAACTAGACAAAATCCTGGTATTCGCCCGGTCGCCGAACCGCAGAATCCCTTAAAGCCTTTGCAAGAAAGACCAGTACTGGGCACAGACCCTCCAACCCTTTACAACGTCAAAACTACCTGAAGCCCCAAAGCCTAATTATATAAGGAATATGGAACCGTAATATTGGTAATTATTTATGCGGACGCCTGGTAGTCCTTCCTTCGGCCTCGGGCACGCCTGACTTCAGGGTAAGCTTGGAGTGGCTAAAACAAAGAATCGTGCTGAAAGGTGCTAAGACCCCAAGCCAACAAAAAGCGACATGGTGGGCATTCTCACAATCACGCACCGCTTTTTGGGAGATCCTTCTCTACAGAGGGGGGGTTCCCTCGAAAAGCACCATAAAAAAATGGCATACGTTGCGTTAACTGAAAGCACTACTAAGGGACAATTTCAAGTCATCAGCTTGATCACCTTGAGTCTGTTTTGCACTCAGAACTACATCCTTCAAATGCAACATGCTCAAGTTTCTTTAACATCCCAATTAAAGATCAAAAGGGTGGAGAAGTTGTTGGGTTGAAGGGTTTGAGTGGGGTTTTCAGAGCTTAGGTATGACAGGCCTTTGGTAGGAGCAGCTACTCTTGGAAGACCCATACAAGACATCTCGATACCCCCTTGCATAAATCCCAAATACCGCAAGTCCAACTATACGACCGCCAAAAGGGCTCTACTGATTTGGAAAACCCCAAAATGGGAACTGCTCTCCCAACTCGAAAGAAGAGCACCATCTTCTGGCCAAATTGGAAGAAGTCACTTAACTGATAAAAGGCCCTGTTGGGTGATCATCCATCTCAAACACTAGCTGACTTTAATTCGTATAAGGTCGCTTCCTTTTTGCCCAATTGATCTTTGAGGCCTGCGAATCATACTGAAAGCACCGGGGAGCTGAAGGGGTCCCACCATGGACGCGTAGCCCTGGAACATGCTGAGCATGACCAGCAGCCTAAGCTCCAAAGAAATGGCAGGGTTGAAGGCTTATGTGAGCTATAGTCTAAACTCCCAGTATCCCCCTTAACAACCCCAATAGTAGTCCTCTATATAATCCCCTATATAACCCCCTTTTAAGGAGTTTAGGCTATAGCTCATGTAGGCTAAGCGGAGAATGGCCTTGCTAAGCAAGGGCGGGCCTAGGCTGCTCACTCTCCTGTATTCTTGATAAAGCTTTCTACTTATAAATATGACCCTCGTCACAACAACCAATAAACCTCCAAGCAGTTTTGAGAACAGCGTGCTCCTTGCGGCCCGGGCAACATGAGTCGGACTGGAGGCGGCTCCTCGCAGGGTGCTCTGAATTCATGCGTATTCTGCGGGGCATGTTAAGAGCCGATTTGCTTTGTGTGCATGACGTGCCGCAGTCTCGGTTCTGTTAAGAATGCAATACATGCATTCGGCCTAGACCCGGAAAAATACGTTGCTTGGCTCGCAAAACTCACGCTAAGTGTTAGGACGCGCTTCCCAGGTGCTCCGAAGTCGTGACAAACCTCGATAGTTCTTGTAGCCCTGGGATCACGAATCCTGCAACTTGAGCTCCAGACCCCAAACCCCTAGGCTCTGTTGTTGGGGGATCCTCTGTTGAAAGCGCAGGTGGGGCCTGGAAGAATCTATTCCTGTCTCCAGTAGTGGGCAGTGACCGGACTTCATGAACCGATGAACCCCAAAACACTGTCCCTGAAACCTTCGACAGATCAGCACGGAACATTCAAGTGCGTATTTAGGATACAGGGGAAAGAATCTCTGACCCCTGAATACCTCCAAGCCCCAAACCCCGTGCGCGCTGTGGGTCCTCGGGCTTCTGGAGGTCCTCTGAGACATCCTGGGTTGCTATTGCGGAACTGAATTTTAGTTGCTGTATTTGCAAAACCATATTAAGCAGTATATATACCCATTACGTTAACTTAAGTTCCTTAACAGCAACCCAGCATCACTCTGAGACATCTCCAGGTCAACGCCTTCCTTCCCCAGCGACTCCTCCCCCTGGGGTGTTGCGATCTGTGGATCTATGCGATGATTCGATGCAGCACGTGTCGGGATTCTCGGGGGGTGGGGGTTAATGGGGATGATCTGGGACTGGGTGTATGCGTGGATCACCTAAATAAGCTATGTAGGGGTTGTATGCGTCTGCTCTGGCGGCTTCTCCAAACCTAGTTCCATTGGGATGCATAGGGATATATCTGGGAGTTCAGTAGGCAGTATGAGGCGTACGTCTGCCCATCCTTTTGAAGGCTTCGGGCAGACCACTGCATTTGAGGATGGCCACGCCACGACTGCTAGCAGAACGTCCTAACCCATACATTCCTGTCTAAAGACATTCGATGCAGGCTCTTACTAAGGTCTATACACCAAACTACGATACAGAGGTTTCTGAAACACACGATCCTTGTGTGCAACCGTGCAACCCTCAAAGCCTGAGAAAAGTGCACCCGGCTATCAGATCAACAACTTCCAGAAGCAGGACCATTTGACGGAAAAACCGTGAACCATCCAATGTCTCCCTGTACTACCCATACATACACAACTCCACAAAACCCGTGATATGCCCTTAGGAGGGACTGCGGTGAGCTGCCTCCAGTTCGGGCTGCGACTTCGTGGCATCTTCGGCCGTCTCCGCTCCCACGGGCACCATCACTGCTGGACTTCGGATTCCCGTGGGGGCGGTGCCTACTCCTGCCTTCGAGCCGTGACGCTGAGAAAACCACCTGTAGCAACAGAAAATGCATCCTGCTTTTGCCTTCATCGGTTTCTACTGCAAGGAGGGAAAAGTAGCTAAATAGAAATGATGTTGCAGGGTCCGTTTTTTCCCTTAAAAATTCCATCCCAGCTTAAGTGCTGGCATGTGGCGCCATCGCATTGTAACATCGCCGCGCATCGCTCGGGCCAGCCCCGAAGCCAAGCCTTGCACATCAAAACAAACGCTCATACAAGTAAAAGCCACGGGCATGTCTCAATTCCTTTGAGCAATGATTCTTATGAGGGAATTTCAAAGGTGAATGGCGTTTGTGCCCGCGTGGCTGCATCTCCTGTTGCCTGCCTCCATACCCAATATAAGTTCAGCTGTAGATACCCTCGCAAGCGGCAACCTTCCAATTGTGTCCCCAAACCTTGGCCTCCATGATATATGTCACCTCTACATTTCGACTCGATACATCGCAAATCATCGCAACCCACAAAACCTCAGTGTCCGAAACTCCGAAAAATAATATGAGTGCGCGGTTGCGGCACAAGGTTTTCAATGTTTCTGTCTGCCAAATCAATTCCTTCACGACACAGCGAGCTTTCTTTGTTGAAAAGCCTCCCAAGCAAACTTCGATGCATCCCGTAACCTAACCCGTACTGCCACATACCCGGGTTTTAGGACTGCTCTCCTTCCTGTTTGCTAGTGCTTGTCTTATTCTTGTCATCATACTAAAAGCAATTCTTCTCAAAGCCTTCCACGTAGGCCAATGGGATGTGCGCAGCGACGTCTGGCCAGGCAGGCATTGAGTGGCGGTAGTCTGCTGCTGAGGCCTTCAGCAAGGGCTTCTCCTCCGTGGGGCTGAAGGAGCTTTGGAAGGTCTGAACAGGACCTAAACTGCACATTATTAGTACTACTATTGCTACTATTCTTCCTAGTAGTATTATTATTAGAATTTTCTAGGAGGAATGCACTGTCTCTCCCTACATCCTACAAGCTCTTGCGGATTCTTCCAAGAACTTCTACACCCTGGAGGCTTAGAATTATGCAACATAGCGGCTGAGATGATTAGAAGAAGGTGTGGGGGTATAGGGTTCAGGGTTTAGGGTATAGCGGTTTAGTGGCTAGGGGTATATTCTTCTCTTGTCATAAAAAGCACTGATCTCGAATCATAGCGGTAATATTCTAGGCGTCCACACCAAACACGGTATAACCCCCTGTATAATCCCAGCATCCGTTTCTTTTTTTAGCTGATCTTCCTTTCCGCGTAATTACTCAATCTTCTATGTCCATAATTCTGAAATATACATATATATATATACTATGAAACGCATACCCCGATAACCCCTTTAAGGCAAGCCAAAGGTACCCCCACATTACCTGCAGGAAGCCCGAGCGTCAATATGTGGATCTTATAACCCATTATAGTACTTTCCATTTCCAGTATCCCAATATAGCCCCAATATAACCCTAACATAATCCCTATATAACCCCATTGTAGTAGTTTCCATTATATTTTCCATTATCCCTATATAACCCCTATAGAACCCCAATATTACCCCTGTCCTGTCCCGGCACGATTTGCAAGATCACGCCAGGCGGGAGCTGCTCGCGCTGGCATTTGGCTTCAGTAATAACTAAGGGTCTAGGGTTTAGGGTCTAGGGTTCAGGGGTTTGGGGTCTTGGGTCTAGGGTTTAGGGGTTTAGGGTTTAGGGTCTAGGGTTTAGGGTTAGCTAAGGATTGTGTTTAACCCCAACCCCCAAAACCAGGACCCTATGACTATCATATGATGGTTATAGGTTACCAAAATACCCCTATTATTCAGGACTGTATAGGACTGTAATAATTACTTAGGGCGTCCTATAATACGGACTTAGGGTTCTCAATGTAGGTTGGAAAGGGATACATCAGGGCATGTAGGGTGCTGTAGGGGTAAATATTACCCAAAAACGGTCCTAAGATCACTAAAATCAACTCTGCAGCATCCAAACTGGCCCACTGCTGTGGCTGAGATCCGCACGTTGGGAGGCTCCGGTCTCTGTGGTGGCAGTCCAGCGCCCGTTGCCATGCCTCAGCACAAGCTTATGGCATTTAGCGAGCTGTAGCGGATTTTGATGCTAGGAATTCGTACGATGAAGGCCGGAGGGTTTGGGAGATACTGGATTGGGGGCGCAATGGGGCTGAACGCCGTGCACCTAGTAAGCAGGACCGTTAGACGTCACGAACACCCCTGCATGGCCAAGTAGGAAGTCCACAAAACCAACAGAACCGATCTTCAACCATGATTCTTCGGAATATGATCCTATCGCGGCGTATCTCCTCGCTGCTCAGGTGACGGCTGCACTTCTGAATTTGTGCTTTGAAAGTAAAGAAGGATCTTTTTTTGCATGCGTAACAGGAATCCTATACATAAAAAGTATAAAGGATCCCGAACATTGATCCAGTGTTGCTAACCTCTATTCTCTGGCCCTGCCCCTGCAACCCAGAGCCCCATCATCCGGCAAGCTACGTACTGGTGCTTACAGGTGTGCTGGGGAGGTAGCATTGTTAGTTCTACACCATTGTTGAGGGATGACTGAGGTCCCCTAACGCCCCATACACACGCATGTTGGGGAAGTCTATAAGGATTCTCATAGGGATGCACTCCCCCACTCCTTCTTTGCGTCAGTACGGCCAAGCTGCGCATCATCGTCCGCGCTAGGCTGAGCTCCACCAGGTCATCCAAGAGCTCAGATGCGCTCCTAAGAAGAGGTCAGGGTTGTGTTGCAGACGTTTAGGGTTCAGAGTGTGGTCTGAAATTGTCTCAGGGAGGGGGGGTGATTCAGGCTGTCACGCATAAGTTCTTATAGCGGTTTGGGCTTTTCCGGCTGCATTTCGCGTTGAATTGTGTTGGGAATATAATTCTTGGGGAGTTGGGTCGTTTCCGTTGTTCCGGAGGAGATTCGTGCACAGTGTTGTAATTTGCAAGTTGGATTCCTCATCCACCCTACACTGACGACGGTTCTTGTGCGCACACCCCAAAGCAAAATCAACTATTTCCTCCAGCAACCTCCCCAAGCCCAATCCCTAACACCTCTAGAGTTCTACTATGCCTTCAGACGGCGAGCGGTCAAGACAATGGTCCCGTTTTCGGCACCCTCAACAGCACGGGCGGAAACTCCAAAATTTCACCTGTCTAAACCCCAAGCCCCCAAGACCTCAAACCCTGAACCCCCAAAACCCTCAACCCCAAACTCAAAATCATCCTCTTGACGTTCGCCATGCTACGATACTGATGACCGGGGCGACCAGTCCTGGCATGGTTTAATTTGAATGAGCTATAATCCAAACTTCTAGCATCGCCTTTCAGCAACACCTATAATACTCCCTATACAATCCGTTTACGGAGTGTAGACCATAGAGTAACAAGAAGCTTATTTCAGTAGAGGTAGGTAGTATAATTGCTGGGCCCAGAGGGCTGATAGGAGTTAATGTGAAGATGATTTTATTGGGCTTGCCCAGGCAAATTTCAAGGGGATGAAGAAAGTCTAGGGTTCTTGTGGGTTCTTTCATATTTGCAAAAGAATCTGAGGAAATGAGGCTAGTAGTGGGCTCATCGCATCTCATTCAAAGGCTTACAGTTTGGGAGGCAGCCGTCACATCGCCGATCGACAAGTCCGCTGACCCTGGGGACTACCGCATTGACTCAAAGGACTAATACTCAGAGTCCTTTTACGCACAGTCTCTCCTGCATGGACCAGGATATATAAGCTGGCCTGAGGAAAAAACAGCTTCGTTCGTGCATGCACAAATGCCTTAGCCAGACACCGTCTCAAGTTGTGCAGATCTCTTGGGGAATATTGTTTTCTTAGTGACAACAACGGCCAATGCGCCAAACCGTATATTGAAAAAACCATGCAAGCCTCAAACCGCAACCCCTCCGCAAGGGAATCCTGGGCATTTACGGCCATGAAGGCTGCACCAGTCTGCGCCAAGCGCTCGCAGATATTCCGAGACAGGACCTGAAGGTTAGAAGTAAGTATGGAAAGCCTAAACCATGGCGATGGCAACTCCAAATCGTTGTATGTGCTGTTCAGGACAAGTTGGGCACCAATCATTGTGCCAAAAGCAAGAAAACTTTTCTGTCCAGCATTCGAGGAACAGCAGGGGTGCCGATGCCCAAAGCACAGCCTCGGATGCTTGCAAGGTATTGCAAGAAACTGAACTTGTAGAAAGGCTGAAATGGTAAAGCTACGGCTTCTCCGTGGGTAAGGATCCATGCAAGCATCATTCTTCAGGGGTAGATAAGGCGAAGCTGTTAGACAGCTTGGACACTTCCCCAGATTTCGGTCCAGCCCGCTGTCAGTTCCAGCATCCGCAGGAAGCTGTAACGCTGGGATTTGGGAAATTGCCAGCGTCAGCTTTCAAGGTGAAGCCTCAGACTGGGGCCCTGTGTTCTAGCAAGGAAGGTCCGACAGCCCTTACCAGCATCCTTTGCATTTCCAACAAGACTGCCTGGCTAGGTGGAGCTTACAGAGCTTTTAGGCAAAGGAGGTTTGCCTACCTCAGGCCTTATCATATGCAACCTAAACGCGATGCCAAGCAGCACTGCGCTGCCCACTGTCCATAGCGTTCAGGTTCTTTCGCAGCCTGTGGCCCATGTAAGCTAAGGCCCTTGCAGCAGGGGAAACCAAACATGGTCAGGGCCATATGCCACGGCAGGCAACTTGGGGCGGTGCAACGAAGGATGCCTGCTTAATGCTGTTTCCGTCACTAATGTCTATATGAAGGTCGTGGGTCCTGTCCGGGCTGCAACTGCTCTTGAGGCCTGTCGGTCTTGTAGATATGGCTTTTGAGCAGCCAATTTGTCACTTCTACCTTCTTACTGATGCCATATAGGCCTTCCTGTACTTTGTCTCTGTGTATCTGTTGCTTAACATACATGAGGTGCAGCCCGAAGTCTCTGCACCCA